AAGCGAGAGGTCGCCTTTGAGGGAGGCAGGCAGGGAGGAGACGGAGAGGAGGGAGAGCGTGGCGTCAAACACATGCCGAGGGGGAATGCCGGTACGCAGATCGCCCCGCGTGTCTTGTATCGGGGACGCTCCTGGCGAGGACACTGGAGAGGCGATCTTAGAGGTCCCTCGGGAACTGCTTCCCGAAGGGAGGTGGCTTCCTGTGCCCGTGCTGCTCGCCCCACTGGCCGTGCTCCCTGCTCCGCTCCCTCCTCCCCCTACTGCTCCCGCTCCTACGCCGTGTTTGGGTTTGATGGGAGGGGGGAATGGGAAGGGAGCGGGCGGGGGCTCCTTGCGGATGGTGCCTGCTCGCGCGTAGGGTCGGCCGTAGAAGCGCAGCCACGTGGCGGCCGTGGATTGGGTGGCAGACGCGAGAGATGGGCTCTGCTGCTGCTGCTGATCAGCGGAGGAGAGGGGCGCGCGGGATGAGGGCGGAGGGGCGTGGTGGTCCGGGAGGGAGTCGTGGTGGGCGAGCAGGCGGCCCAGGAGGGCGTTACAGTCGTGTGCATATGCGAGAGGCGCGAGCTGCACATGGGGAGGGGAGATGAGACAGCGACACAAGGGCTTGAATGAGTTGCAGAAACGAGAAGAATGGGGGGGGGAGAAGGGTTTGAAAGAAAGTGGGGTTTGCATGGAGCATGGAAGCGAGAAAGGGGAGTTGAGCTGCACACAGAGAGGGGCCCAAGGGGTATGACTTGTAACTGGGCAGTTGAGGTGTGTTGTGTTGTGTTGTGTTGTGTTGTGTTCAACCACAAAGCTGTTCAGTCAGTCCCTGGGTTTGTTTCACCTTGCGAGCTTCACCTGATGTGCATGCCACACGAAGTCAATGTCAAGAGCAGGGATAAACATGCTGCCCGCCCCACCACTGCCGTCACCACCAGCAGCAGCAGCAGCAGCAGCAGCAGCTGCAGCAGCGGAGTTGGCAGCAGGGAGTTGGTGTTTGAGCATCCAGAGAAACGCCTTATAGCGCTCAACGGCTCCTACGAGGTACTTGGCGTCTTGCATGTGTGGGCGCGCTATCTGGTGGAAGAACCGCGCCTGCCGCGCCACCGCTGCCTCTAGATCATACGATATCCTCTCCTGCACTGACGCTGCTGCTGCCTCCTCCCCACCCGCACACTCCCCTCCTTCCTGCTCCGCCCTGCTACCAAGAGCACCGCCAGTGGCAGCAGCAGCAGGAGGAGGAGCACGAGGAGACTCAACCGAGAGAGAGGAAGGCGTGGAGCGGAGGCTAGAGGAAGCACCGAGCAGGCTGGGCGGGAGGTGCAAGGCGGCGAGGGAAGCGGCAGCACCGGCAGCAGTGTTAGCGGCTGGCTGGAAGAAGTGCAGGTCGTATGGGTCCCCCGGCCACCTCTCGTTCCACACACGCCGACTCACCGCCACTGCCTCCGCCTGCTGCTGCTGCTGCTGGTCTGCTGCATACTGGCAGAACGAGTGCGAGTGCATGGAGGGGGTGGGAGGGGAGAGCAGGGATGGGGAGTGCGGGGAGTGTGCGGAGGAGGAGAAGGAGGAGGAGGAGAAGGAGGTGGAGGAGGATGAAGAGGAGGAGGAAGCGGCGGGGTCGAGGAGGGGGAGAGGGCAGTCGAGAACTTTGGAGAACATTTCCAAGCAGTCCCGGGCATATACGTCCTGGGGTGAGGAGGAGTGGGCAGCGATGGGGAGGGAAGGGAGGGGGGGGGGGGGGGGGGAGAGGAGGGAAGAGTGGTTGGGTAGGAAATTGAAAACGGCGGAAAGAAAGTTGGCGAAAGCAACAGGAGGAGCTGTATACACAGGTGTGGCTGCAGCGCACGTGGATGTGATGTGAGCACCCCTGGATGACTGCACAAGCCTGCGCAACGCAATCATGCACTGAGTCTGCTGCTGCAGCAGCAGCGCAGTTTGAAGGATTATACATCAAGAGGAAAAACCGTGCAATGCAGCGACCTCGGAAATCATCCCCAGAACGACACATGGGAAAGGCAAAGGCCCAGCAGCAACAGAGTGGCATACAGACGCGAGTCTGTGGCACATTTTGAGGCGCCTCAAAAGTCATTTTTGAGGCGCCTCAAAAGTCGACACATGGGAAAGGCAAAGGGCCAGCAGCAACGGAGTGGCGTACAGGCGCGAGTCTGTGGCACAGCCATATCCAGTGCACGTCCAGAGGCGGCACGAGGCACGATGGCAGCTCTGTCTCTCCTCCTCCCCTGCTTGCTGCTGTTGCTGCTGCTGCTGCTGCTCCGTGCCGTCCCCCTTGCAACTCGTCCAGGAGAGGAAGCCAGCAACGCTCGTACCTGCTCCCATGGGGGAAACCGCGCACAACAGCAGCACAGGAGCGCAACAGCACAGCAGCAGCAAGCACAAAGAGCACAAGATCATGACCTGAGTCCAGGCGAAATAAGTGTTGTTTTGAGTCGTCTCAAAGCAGCAGAAGCACAAAGAGCACAAGACCATGACCGGAGTCCAGGCCTCCTCCTGCGCAAGATACTCACAATCCTGCAACGCCGTCTCCCTCACCCTGCCTCCCCACAATTCCCCCCCCATTCCCCCTTCCCTCTCCCCTCCCCTGAGGATTCCCAGCACCGGCACTCGCCTGCGGATGGCGCGGCGCACGGCAGGGCCGGAGTAGAGGCCCGCGCAGCAGTCTACGGCGCGCAGCAGGCGGAACTGCTGCTGCGCCGCCGCCACCAGGTCCACGCTCACGCGCACCGCCTGCTGCGCGCGCTCCCATTCGCCGCCGCTTCCGCTGGCCTCCTTCATTTTCACGCGGGAGACGCCTAATCAGCGGTTTAGTACTTATTCGTACAGATTGATACGGAGTTGACGAGATCGGATGAATGTAGCGGCGATGAGAAATATTCGGCTCTGTGACAGCCCGTGGCAGTGGCGGTGGTGCTGATGGTCGCGGTGTCGGAGGCGGAAGGTGGAGGCGGTGGCTGGAGGAGGCGGACGCGGAGGAGTAGGCGGAGGAGGAGGCGGACGCGGACGCGGAGGAGTAGGCGGAGGAGGAGGCGGACGCGGACGCGGAGGCGAAGGCGGCGGCGGGTGGGGGGGGCGGTGGCTCTTCCACGAAGGCTGCCGGACGCTGCGCGAATGCAAACAGGATTTACTTATTGACACGGTAACCCGATCGCTGCTTGGCCAACGGTCGAATGTTGAATCCCCAGCCGCGGCCAATTATTGGTCTGTTCGTCTAAGACGTCACTGGCGGTTCCTGGATTGCGAAATTGACGACTCGGATAGACGCAGCGTGGATGCCTGAACGGGTGGGCATAGGATAACTACAGGAAAGAGGACAAGAAAGTCCATCGACTCGCGTAATGTCGCGTACACGAAGACCCGATGGCGCTAGGGCGCGCGTCGGAAAAACGCGATATCAGAGAGAGAAACCAAAAAAAAAAAGGAACGGAGCGTGATCAACGGAGAGCCCTGCTCTGGGACGTATATACCCGCCTGGCAACTAGGCGTTGGACCGTGTGCAATGCAGCCACATTCCGTCAGAGGTGAACGTCTGTCAGTGAACCCACGCAGTGAGCACAGTGGAGGCGAAGCGAGGCGAGGCGAGAAGTTTGACGTCACACGATGCTCGTTTGACTAGCCCAAGGTTGCCTTGTGAAAAGGGCTTTTAAGTGGTTTGAAGAATTTCGCAAGTTTCGTCAACGTCAAAAAGGGGCTTCTAAAAACATTGTAACTCTGCGTTGACATTTTGACTTCGGTCCCTTCTGTGTGACTTCAGTTACTGTGGTTATTATTGGTTCATACCCACTACAACATGCTCGAGGGGCTTGTAATTTGGGTGCAACTGGCTTGTTAAAAAAACACGGGTGCAGACTTTCTATTATAGACAGAGAAAATTCGCGCGCAGGGGCTGAGCATCTTGTGTAGGCACCAGCCAAAACAGTACGGTGTACCTCCCGCTAAATGCTGTATACTGTACACCAGAATTATTGTACTTAGACTTTACTGTACGTTACTGTAGTGCTGTATACACCCCTGTTCTCACCCTTCTCACCATCGCGCGCACTGGACGTAGCGGGCTGGTGCGATAACTCGGTTGCGGGCAAAGTCGCACGAGGTTTTTTTTATAATGATTAATTAATAGTACAGACCGAGGTGAGCAAGAGCATACAATCATAACGGTCGTAACCGTGCTTGAGGAAACAGCGAAGCACTGTTCCATATAGGGTGTCTAGGGGCGGGAGATGCTCGCCCTTCGTTTGGACCACAGTGCAGCGAATGCACTTGTCCACTTCCAACTCTTGCCAGCCAACTTGATTTTGTCTAACATGTTCTGCTCTTCTGCCTGGTTACGTTGCTGACGTTTACCAGGCCACTCCAAACTTGCGGGTGAAGAAACATTCATGGAGAAACAAGCCTTGGCCTTGGGCAGTAAAAAACCATTAACGCTGAATAGCTGTCCCAACCGTTTTGAAAACGACAGTACCATTTTATAAAATTTGAAACCCTGACTGACTGCCTTGGGTCAAATTGTCACTATGACGCATGTGATAGGAAGCATATGCCAGTTGCAGCTACACTAGGCATCTCAGTCGGTCTAACATATGCCACTCTATAGAAAATACAGTGTACTTGCACGGTCCATTAGAGTGCACGAGCGTGCCAGCCAGGTTCCACAATTGCATTGCGCGCCAATGACAGCTCAGACAGTTCAGTTTCTGAGCCGATACTGTTTAACATGTGACGCCCACAAGCTTTGTGATTCCGTCGAGGGAAGCTGATGCTGAGGGTGATTTATTGCAATATTTGAAAATCACTGTGGGAGAAATCGAGATTTAACTTAACGTAAACATTGCCAGTGGTTTCATATCATCACTCCCAATTTTTTGTTGATTGCAAATAAATAATCAAGTATTGCTTGGCGTGCGTAGATCGGTGAGGACGACTTGCCGCAGGCTTCACCTTCCTGCACGGGCCACCAGGGTCTTGTTCGGCTGGCGCATCAACTGATGCTCAGTGGAGAAATCATGGCCTCAAGCTCCCCGGGATTTCTCTTCAAGCACCCGCCATTTGTCCTCCTAGGGTGCCTCTTGCTTGCTTTTCTCTTCCAGTCCCACCACCCTATGACCAGAGCTGGGGTAACCAGCGGAGATGGCGGCGCTGTTTATGGAGAACACGAAAATTGCGGCGAATTTGGACGGGAAGATACCAAATCTGCAGTCGCGAGCGAAATATCCGGCGTGTCACGCGTAACCTCACGCGCAGGGTCGTGCCGCGCTGATGGTCATGAACTCAGAGAGGCGGAAGCGCGCGCGGTGGCAGCGGAGGAGCGCGCGCGGCTGGCGGAGGGCCGCGCGGAGGAGCTGGACGCGGAGCTCCGCGGGGCGCTGGGGGACGTGGCGCGACTGGAAAGCGCGATCACAGAGATGGGTTGGTGGGTCGGGGGACAGTAGGGGACAGGCGTAGGGCAGAAGGGGCAGGGGGATGGGCAGGGGGAGGGGCAGGCGGAGGGGCAGGGGGAGGGGCAGGGGGAAGGGGCAGGGGGAGGGCCGGTGAAGGGGTGGGGGAGAGCGGGAGGGGCAGAAGGACGCGCGGCGGACATGCAGCAGAGTTGGGACAGTAATCCATCTACGACTTGTGCATGCCGATATCGATCAACCATTCAGAGGCATTCCGGTGGAATACTATCTGTGTGTTGCGTGTGACATACTGCAATGTGCTAGCCGATCTTCGGACATTCTTCCAGTCAGCAGCACAGCACCGTATTGCATCTCACCATCTGCAATGTGCTCATTCCGGCTCACCTTGCACCTTCCGCTGCTTGTCTCTTCGCCCCATGGCCCTGGGTGGTTACCAGAGGAGCAGCTGGCAGTGGGGGAGAAGCGGTGTGGCGAGAAGCAGGCGGAGGTGGGGAGGCAGTTGAAGGAGTGCAATGGTGGGAGGCAACGAGCCATGGCACAACTGCACGAGTGTGGTGAGAAGCATCTGGTTTATCACAGTACGGTAAGTCTCAAAAAGGGAAAGTGCCGAGGCACAGCTGCATGACTGGTGACACAGTCTTGAGCAGCATCTGAGCACTGCAACATAGCTCTGTTGTTTGTTCCTCCACCACACTCGTTCTCTCAACACCCACCGCAACACAGCAGCACCGTATTGCATCTCACTGGTTTCTTCCTCCCTCCTCACTCCGCCCAGCTTCCAGCTTTACGACTCCCTGTCTGTCCTCTCACTCCATCATGTCTCCTCCCACGTCTACTCCCAACCCACTCACTCTCATGCCCGCAGAAGCCTCTCTGGCAGCAAGGGAGCAGGAAGAATGAGCAAGGCAATCCGCACCAACGATGGAAACATTCGTAGCTGTCACATTGTACCGTATGAGCCAATGCTGCTCTGAAAAAAAAATATGGAAGCTTGCTCCTTAGGCCGTGAGTACCGTAAGATTGGCGTGGAGCCTAACATTGGTATGTGAGCGCGGGATGCTATGCTAGGTGTAATTGGTTCACTCGACGTTTGTTCTTGTCTTCATTGCATGTCAACGTATTAGGAACAAGTGATCTCTCCAATTATGGATATTTCAATCTGTGTCCTTCCCAAGCGTGCTTTTTCCTCAGTACTTCACTACATACAAAAGGGGGCTTGCAGCATACTGCTCATGTATGTACAGCACATGCAAAGGCGGAAAATCACATGGTATGGAGCACTATGGTGAATCTACATCGTTGTTGCTGACATACGACGACATGATAGCAGAATCAAAGTGACCAGAGTAGCAGTACGAAGGTGATGCACTGCCACATGCCAAAACGCTTCAAGCCTTCAACCCTCCTCCTTTGTCTTCCCTCGAGCTGTTGCCTACCTGCAGATGGAATGCAAGGCCACACCGTGACATTTCACACCATGGCATCTTGCACAATGGACATGCCACACAACATCATGATACCATATGTGCTATTGCTGTAATTCACATCTATCATAGCAATGACATGGAAGGGCTGCCAATGCCCCCATGACATGGCAGAGATTTTAGCTCAAAAGGTTTTAACCTCATTCCTTTCCACTCAACCACCAAAGAGATTCAGTCCTCTATTTCTCCACTCGACCAGCCAGAAAAAATCAGCCCCCTTTCACTTCATCTCAAATACCCATCACAGGGATTTCAGTCCCCTTCCATCTCACTTACCCATCAAAGGGATTTCAGTCCCCTTCCATCTCACTTACCCACCAAAGGGGTTTCAGTCCCCTTCCGACTCACTTACCCGCCCAAGGGGTTTCTGCCCCACTCACACTCCTAAGGGGTTTCAGCACCACTCACCCTCCCAAGGGGTTTCAGCCCCTTCCCCTTCACTCACCCTAAAAAGGAGTTTCAACCTTCCCTTCCACTCACCCTCCCAAGGGGTTTCAGCCCCTGATCACCTTCACTTGCCAGCATTAGAAGCAGCAGATAGCCCACTTCCTTAGAAAAACAGCACCCCCAAAGGCTGTGCCTTGTGGGGTGAGGTGTGGTAGCGGAAGATTGCTTCCAGCCCAAGACTCACATCCCACCCCTGACGTAGCTAGAGCTGACGCGAACCAGAGCCGCCGGCCGGTCGGCTCTGACGGTGTCCATTAAGCCTTAAACGCCAGATCAGGAACTTGAGCACCGAGTGCCGTGCCGTGCAGATTCCACCCACCACACCCCACCACCACAAGCCACAGCCCCAGAGGACGCTGCCCCTAAGGCAGTGAGCTGCACACTTGCTCCCATGCTCCCCACCACACCCCCATCCCTTCACCACATGCCTCCTTACCTGTGACTACCACGGCCGTGCAGACTGCCATGATGTCTCACGCTGCCGGGAAGTGGGGAGTGGAGGAGGGGGGTGGGGGGTCAAAAGAGGGATGCCTCTGTCCGCCTTTGCTCCAATGCTCCCTCCCTTCCTCAGACTGTAAATAGGGAAGGTAAGAGGACGAGAGAGGGGGGGGGAGATGAAACGAGAGACGCCCTGTGTCCTGCCCTTGCTCCGGTGGTCCCTCCCTCTCTCAGGCTGCATGAGGGGGTGGGGGAGGGGGGAGAGGGGTGAAGAGAGGGGAGGGGATCAGATAACACACCCGTTACCACACCTCACTCACCGGATACCATACCTCACCTGATACCATACCACACCTCGCTCATGACTCGACCTAACCTAGCCTGTCCTCTAGGCCTCCTCCTCCCCCACTCCCCCCCCCGACCCCGCTGCTGCTGCTGAGGCCGCTTCTGCTGCTACAAACTGCTACTGCCGGTCAGGTACTCAGCTTCCTCTGCTACAGTCTTCACTCCGTGCCAAGTCACCTGGTGGGGGGAGAAGAAAGAGGGGAAGAAAAAAGCAAGTGAATTGGCATGACCAGGAAGAAAAAGAAAAGAAAAAAACAGGAAACTTAGAACCAACAAACACGTGAAGCCAGATCTGAAGAACAGAAAGCAGAATTGGAACGCAAAATAGGGGGAGAGATGAGGCCAAGAGGGGAGGTGAGGTACCTTGAGAGGCCAAGCCCACCCCGGTACTCTCCCTTGTGGCAGCGATTGGCAGTGCTGCCTCCCTCCCATCCCCATGGGTACCTGCACGGCCACAGGGGAGGGGCGTGGGGAAGCGTCGGTGTTGACCCCCGCCCCTCCCCTCCACCTGCAAGGCACACACGCAGAGCTGGTCAGTGGGCAGCGAGGGGATGAATGGTGAAAGTGCAAGAGAGGGAACGGCATTTGCAAGGCGGGAGAGGGGAGGGGCCACTGGGGGAGGCCAAGTCACAAACTGCAGACCCAAGGGCTGCACCTGAGGGGGTACCTGCGCCTGAGGGGGTTACCTGAAGTAAGGGGGTCTGCAGCATGTGAGGCGGTCCCAACCAGTGGCACTGTTTCAAGAGGAAGGTGCAAAAGTGCATGCAAACACGACATGCAAGCAAAGTACACAAGACATGGCGAGGCAGGCAAGGGGTTGAGGGAACTTAGCTGTAAGGCATGAGAGTGAGCAGAGGGCAGCTGCTGCAGCACCAGGTGACTCCTTCCCCGGCAGCCCTCCTCCCAGCTGCTGTAGGGGGGCTGAACCTGAACCTGAACCTGAGGGGTTTACCTGGAATAAGAAAAGGGAGGTCTGTGGCTTGCAAGTCATGCCCCAACCAGCGGTGGGATTTGACAGAATGGAAAGAAAGAAAAGAAGCAGAACTCAAACCAACCGAAAGCACTTGAGAGGCAAGACTGAAGGAGGCGAAAAACTTAGCTGAGAATTGGAGCAGTGGTGGTGCAGGCGGAGGGGGTGCCTTGATGCAGAGGAGGAAACAATGGAACAATGGACCTGCGAGGCAGAGGAGGGTGGAGAGAGAGAGTGACTGGCAGGCAGGTGGGAGGGAGCGGCCGTTGCAAGTGAAAAGAGCGCCTGACAGCAGTGCGAGTGCAGAAACGACGGTGCATGTGATGCCGCCCACAGCCCCACAAGAGCCACTACCAACCTGAACCTAAACCTGAACCTGAACCTGCACCTGCACCTGAACCTGAACTTGAACCTGAACCGGGGGGGAGCGGGCTCATGTGGAGTGTGGTGGCGGCGATACTGCAACCTTGACCGTTGATGAGGCCGGCGATGCTGCCCCGTTGCCCGCCTTGGCGCTCTCCTCGCCTGCTGCCCTCCCCTCCTTGCTGCTCCCCTTGCACTGGCCTGACAGGAAGAGTGGTGACGGCGGCAGGAAGGGGAGGGAGGAGAAGGAGTGGGGGGCGTGGAGGAATGAGTTGAAGTCCAGGAACAGGAGGTGGGTGGGAGTGAGGAGTGAGAGTCGAAATTGGTTATGTGTGCGTGATGTGGGTATGAAGTGAGCATGAGCATGAGTGCACAGCCAGCCAGGGCGATCACACTGCAGACCTCAGACGGACGCACGGACGGACGCAGGCAGACGTACGGACAGCTAAGCAGGACGCCTGACACTGACGAGACGCCTAGCTGACGCTAACTCACACCTAGGGGAAGAGACAAGGAGGCTGCAAGTTTGCCTTGGACTGGCATTGAGTGGCGTGTGCAATAAGCAAAGGAGAGAGGATGGAGGCGAGGTGAGGGTACTTATCTGCGCGCAGGGGGAGAGGCAGCTCAATGGCGAGTGGAATGGCGAATGGGACGTCGCACGGACAACCATTCCGCCGTGCGACGACGCGCGGATGACGATGTCGATGCACGCTGCCCTGATAGTGTTGTCCGTCGCATCTGAACGTAGAGTAGACAACGCAGAAATAACGGGGAATAACGGTTACAAATGTGACATTAACGAGGCTCAGGACGTGGTGCACCGAATGCAACTCAGAGTCTTGTAGGGATGAGAAAGCAACGGGAAAGGCGGTAGTAAAAGCTAGTCAGAGGCGTACCGAAGCATTCGAAAAATCTTCAGGGAACAGGCGACGATTGGTCAGCGGACGGTAGAAAGCAAGGAATACTGATCGTAGGGATGACGAATCTCGGCGCCACGGCAACACGTGTTTCCCTGCGCGGGTGCATCTGGCGGGTGAGACACCAAGGGCAAATCGGAAAAGGAGCACCTGAGATGTCCGACAGCGAAACGCGACATCTCATATAATGAAATATATATTTCGAAGATGCGATCTCGCAGGGACGGAATACCATTTGGAGACTAACCTTGTCGGACAAAACATCCGGATTTCATTTCTTCATCCCCGCCGGAAACGCTACAATGAAAAACGCAGCGAGCGAGCGATCACAAAGACGTCAACGCGAGAAGAGCGGCCTCGCGAGGAAGATAGAACTCGTCGGCAGAGATAACGAAACGAGAAGAAACTAGTCTCGAGCGACGGAACTAGTCTCGAGCGAGAAGGAAACGTTAAGGTAATGTTGTGAGAGGCTATGATAGAGAACTGACGAGGATTTGGGCGTGGGAAGAAATGAGGAGATGGAGCGGAAAACGAGGTGATGGGGAATGGTTTGTTTGTGCTAGTTGGGTTGGCCCACTTGGGAGTTCCCTGAAAGCCATGTTTAGCGGGAAAAGATCATACAGGGGCCGAACAGTGCCAGAGAGGTCATCGACCAGAGGCCGAGAGGCCCGAAACTAACCAAACCACTACGCAAAGAGATATTTGCAGAAAGACATTGGTTTTGCATTTTCGCTCGCGCGTCATTAATTCATGGAAATCGTTAATGATTCATGACCTTCCACCCGATAGAGTCGTTTATCGAGCCAGAACCTCTTAGGGCATCCAAAAAAACTAAAGCCCCTAGGGAGCCTGGATGCATCTTCGGGATGGATCAACCCTAAAAACAAACATTCATGGCGTTCAGGGTTGATGCCTCCCGAGTCGCACCCGTATCCGAACCGGTTATATATTTTCTGTATGCGCGTTTCGATCGGGAAGGTTATATGTGTTACCAATAACATAATATGTTGCTTTGGACTCACAATTCAACACGGCGCATGTAGCTTCGAGATAAGTGTGACGCGCGCGCTGTAGAAGAACACTAAAATAACGTAACTTAAACATATTGGTGCAAAAAGCATTTACCCTTTGTTACGGTTCGGCTTGCTTGCCTAACCGCTTGGGCAGCTCCGGGACAAAATCCTACGGTCGAGATTTTTCGGCCCTACTCTGGTCATCTCTCTGGTACTCTTCGGCCCCAGTTTGATCATCTCCCATGTTGAGCGCGGTTGAGATGATAAGTAGTGTGACTGCCTTTTCCTGGGCAATCACAGGAATGGTTCAGCAAAGCCCAGCCAATCCCGAGGTGGGCCAAGCGGCGGAGGAGGAACCACCGCCGACAAGATTCGCCCGCGAATTTCCGCGAGCGCGCATGATTTCCAACAAACGGCCAAGTTGACGAACCGTGGGCCCGACATGCGAAATAGCCCTAACGACTGATTGGCCGCTTCGCCTGTGTGTACCAGGGTCGGACGGAAGACTATTGCGACTTCATGAGTGTCACCACAAACGTCGAGGGTAACGGTTCCGGCAAAGGATTCGCCAGAAAACGCGCGGGTCCGCGAATGTGGTTCCCCGCAAAGCCTGACACACCACGGCGAGGGCGCAAATTCGTGAGTACACCCTGTTTCTCGACCCTCTCACCTTGCGCGATTCGCTGCTACAGTGCGGTCAGGTGCCATAAACCGTATGGCTGAAACCTGCGGGCAAAGCCGCACCAGCTGACGGAGTGGTACTGGGGGCAAAATTTTTCTTTATCGCTGTATACCCTTTTCAACCGCTTTGAAACGCTTGTTTAATGTTCTTTACCATGCAGCATCCTAGCTAACCGCTTTCTTGTGAATGTGCTTGTACCGTCGGTGATAAGACCATTTCAAACGTGGTGACGTTCTACAACCAGTGCATGTTCTGCAACCAGATGCTCTGCTAGCGCGAAACAGGGTGTATTGCGGAGTGCAGCTATGAAGGCGGACTGCTGCTCCAACGGGCTGGCTGTGGACGGCGCGATTTGGGGATGTTTGTGGAACAGCATTAATCATAGTCGTGATCGAACGGTCGAGATGAACTAGCACAGAACGAATCGGACCCTCCAGCATCGTTTGGATGACAATTCTAGATCCAACGGACCAAACGGCCTCGGTGCTGAACATTACAGAAGTCGCTATTTACGCTTCATATAGATGACTTCAACAAAATCAAAAACATTCTCTTCAACATAATTTAGAACATGAAATACTATATTCCAGCTTACAATCATATAAATTGCATGTAATTCTTCACTTGCACTACAGCCTGACTTGGAATCCTTCGCCACTAGGAATGCACTAAGCCTAGATACATCACTCGCAACCATATGACAGGTATAGAATTGGTTTGTGTGCTCATGGCGACAATGACAGATGTCTTGCTTGGGACGGTAAGATCCTACTTCATGCTGGTAAGTGAAATGCAGAATCTAATGATAGTCGACATCACTCCCTGGGTTCTTCTGATGAACCACGCTGCTGTACCAAACTGGGCACTTTGTTAATCTCACGCACTTGAAGACGCAAATGAAGCTGCTAGAAGCGGTTGCTAGAGTTAGAGAGGCGCACAGTGCCTGCTTGCATGCCCGCCTTCCTCTTGCGATGGTACACGATGGGACCGCATACTGCCAGTATTGCCAGCATGATGCCCTGTGCACATGCGTCCATGCGAGAGTAAAAAAAAAAGAATCAATTGCACATAAAAGAACATTCGTGCATGGATACCAGGGTAGAGAGAGAGTCGATCCACGGATCAAATCGGACCTAAGCTGTGTGTCGTTGTAACACAACAGAAAGATACACAGGACAGTACCCGTAACACAACAGCAGCAGCTCCTCGGTAAAAGCTGAGGTATGCCAGGTGCAGGAAGGTGCAACGCATAGAACGGCAGCAAGGAAACAAGAAAACACGAACAGACGAGTGGGCGCGATGAGCGAATGCCATGAGCCCATGTCAGTCTTGAGCCAGAGGCGCTCACCTCAAAGCCCAGCACCGACAGAGTCTCCACTTCAGGCTTGCATGACTCGTACGTGAGGAAGCGCCTCATCCTCTCTTTCCCCACCTCCTCCCCGCTGCCGCCGCTGCCAGTGCTGCTGCCTCTGGCGCCTTCCTCCTCCGCGCTGGCTTCCATGCTGCTCACCCGCCCAGCCACCTGCACCGTTCTCACCTCCCCCAGTAATCGCCTCAGCAACACCTTCCCCTCCTCTGACCCCCATCCTGGGGCCACTTCAAACTTCTCACGTCTCTCATCCTCCACCACTTCTGCTCCTCTAGCAGAACCTGAAAGTCCCACCCCACTGCCCTCTTTCGTCCCCACAGTAAGCATTCCTTCCCTGTATTCGCCTTCCTGCGCCACAACTATTTCCTCTTGCAGTCTTACCCTCCTCGAAACACTCGCAGACAACCCACCAGCCGTCTCGTCCACTCCCTGCTGCTCACGGCTACCAACACTTTGGGGACCACTAGCTCCCTTGCTACCTCTCGCCCCATCCGTTTCTTCTTGAATTCTGCGCCCACTGCTCCCACTGCCCCCACTGCTTTCACTGTGTCCGCTGCGCCCATCAGGAATAATCTCCTGCGCCTCTCTGCCTTCCCCTGGCCCGTCCTCTCCCCCTCCCTCCTGCAACTCCCCGCCATCCTCCCTCCCCTTGCCCGACCCCCTTCCCCCCGCCTCTCCGCGCGCCTGGCGCGGGCCCCGCACCACTCCCCCGCGGGGCTTGGTAGCGCCGGCAGAGCGGGCGCGTGCGGAGGGGAGAGAGGAGACGGCGCCGCTGTAGCGCTCGATACAGGAGATGGCCTGGCGGTAGCCAGTCGGCTGGCACGCGGGGTCCTCCACCTGCGCCGGAGAGGGGGGGGGGGGGGAGGTGGGGAGGGAGGGGAAGAGCAGTTGACGTGGGTGGAGAGGGGTTGCGGGGTGGGGTGGATGGGGATGTGAGGGATGCGAGGGAGGGGGGAGGATTGTTCTTGAGATGGAAAGAGAAGATGCGTTAGGGAAAGGGGAGGAAGAAGGGAGGAGGAGTAACACGCCAAGAATACGTTCAAGTACGGAGGCAAACAATCAAACAAAAGCATGATTTGATTGGCTTACTTGCGAAATTAGACGGCTTAGACTACTGTTAGAGACTTAACGGCTGGACACGAGTCGCGAGCGTTCCTACCTTCTGCTGCTCCGTGCAGATAAGGCACGCGCCGGTGACATTGCACTGAGTACCCGTTGCCAGTGGATCCATGGCTCGTCCTTCCATCGCCTCCCCTACCCCTTCCCCGTTCCCCTCCCCGTCCCCCGTCCCGGAATCCTCCTCTGGTTCATTTCCTTGTGATGAAGCCGCTGATGCCGAAACCACCCTGCCATGGTTGTGAAACGAGTGTATCCGACGTATTCGTGAAGGGTATGTAGATTACTAATAAGATGATCCGAAACATCCAGTGGAAACGCAGGAGGATTCATCCTGTAGATCTTATAGCGAAATCTGCTACTCCAATATCACTGGTTAGTGGAATGATCGCTAAGGGCAAATCTGCAATACTCTCTCAGTCGTAAGTATATGCGAAGGGAAAGGGAGCGTACCGTCTGACGGAAGCGTTGGGTCGACACAGCGACGGTACGATCAGGAGACCGAGGACAAGGAGGATCAGCGCGATCCTACGGGCCATAGCTGCTATTCAAGAACGATCAAGGACGGTGTGTGATAGGTGGAAGATAGCGAAGGGTTAGGTCGATTCTGTGAAACAACGAGACTCCTTATTGGAAGCCATTCACCGCAACTGGTCACGCATCAACCCGAAGAGGCTAAGGAAGAGTTGAGGACTAGGATAAGTAGGATTAGTAGCAAATTCTGGGAGCACAAGATACAATCCACAGTGTCAGGACAGGAAGCAATTGGGAACCTCACGAGGACATGGTACGAGGCATGAATCGTGATTTACCAAAACCGATGTGCTTCTACGAAGTCTTCTCGAAAAAAAGTGGCATGAAGAATAAGAAATAGTATTATTGTGCCATGAAAAATAAGGAACAGTATGCCTATTAATGAACAACAAATAGCACGAGTTATCAAAACGCCTATTGACAGAGTTGACTTCAATTGGATATAGTTTTAGTGGAATTAAATATAATGGTAGATTGTTTTCATACATGTTTGTAACATAAGGCATATTTGATAATTATCATTGGCTACTTTGCGGGATTCCTATCATTCAGTAGCACGAACATAGAGAATACTTGAACTTGACGTGAGTCAAACGCATTCCTGGGGACCACAACAGCGAGAATTGCCACCCCATGACGATATGCAAGCAACTGCTTGCGACACTAACGCTGTGGCCGTGTCAAAACAGGTACTTTTGACCTCACCATCCCCAGGATCCCAGCAGAGATCACACGTGGCATACCTCAAACCGTCAATTTGTGAAAAAACCACAGCAGCATTGTCACCGGGGAGGCCAGTCCAGGCGCACTCTCCCGTCACCCCAACGCGTCAACACGTCATCGCGCTTGCATAACCTTAGACTGGAAACCAGCTGTCCCAACCGCAACTCCACCGTCTCTACTCCAACTTCCCCGCAAATTCAGGAGTCGCATGGGATGCCTGCTAGCTGGGTCCGTCCGTGGGGATGGGATGGGATCATGGGAGCAGGCGCATGCCTTGAAAGCTCCGATTGGATGCTGTCGTAGTTGCATACCGTCAAATCAGGTCTCGAAACGAACGGAACAAACCGTAAGCCGTCACTTTCAGTCATCTGATAGCGCTAGCTTCATATTCAGCCAATACGTTCGCCCCGTCAGTGGAGATCCCATTTTCTTTTCCAAGCCATTTGCTGCTTCTGCTTGATCTCCTCCAAGCCGTTGGTTTTATCCCTGGATTAGACGTACGCTTAGCTCCGTCGCCCGGTGGTCTGAAACCCTCGTTCTGCGTATTTCACTCCACAGCTCCACTCACTGCTCCTCGTCCGCGTCACTCCGAGTTCGACAGTTTCTACAGCAGCAAGGGCCATGACGCTTACTCCGCTGCACCCGCTGGACCCGAAGAGTGTTCGACACGTGGCTGCTGCGGCAGCCAAATCACCGTTCCTCCGAGGTCCTGGCACAACTTTCCATACCATGTCGGATTGTGCGATCCCGGACAGTCCCGTCAGAAGCGGCTCTTTGCCTCGACGGCACCATCATCACCATCACGGCCTCCAGGTGGACGTGGATCCGATGATCGAGGAGGCGTGGGAGGCAGCCGTTCATTCCTTCTCGGTACGTTGCTGCTTCCCATGTGTTCGAGCCATAGCCATGGCAGTCGCTCCTGCTTGTGTAATCGCGCTTGTTCTTATGCAGCCTTCTCAGGCTCCTAATTGACGTTCCGATCTTCCTCTTTGTTTGCAGGATTTTCAGGGAGCTTTTCACGGACCGTCAAAGGCGATCAAGGAGGGAGGAGCGTCCCTGGCAAGGAAGGCACACGAGGTTGGGGAGGCTGTCTGGAAGACACTCGAACCGACGAACCTTCCTTGGTCCAGGGAGCAATCTCCACGGGTGTCCCCACGCGGTCACCATTGATCCAGTGACCTATCAGCAAACCTTGATCTCACTTATACGAGCACCTTCCTGCAAGGCGGGCGCCTCTGCATTCTCTGCCATACAGGCACCCATTCTGTATATGCAGCCACTCCAGTGGCTGCTGGTGGCATGAGGTCATTTTCGCGTTTTTTTGTACAGAAGGTGTAAATAGTTGTGTCCGGAGTGATTGTTTTGTTCTAAAATGCTTATCATACTTCCGTAATTGTATAAATTTCATGTTTATGTGCGGTAATGAACTTCAACAGCCATCCCTAGTGTCACATTTTATCCCCACTTTATTTTATTGGAAGGTCCGACTTGAAGGTTTAACTTGGTAACTGCAGCAAAACAAACAAAAAGGTTCCTAAACACAAGGGGGGAAAATCCCGTACAGGCAACCCTACAATTCTATCGGACACCAGGGTAGGGTGGCTGGAGCAATGTTAGAGAGCATGGGCACAAGCAAGCAGGTGGGCAGGCGGGGGACCAGTACAAGCTGCAACACAGGGTACACAAAAGCCCCCTTGCTACAAAACAATAACACCATCTGCAGCAGCTGATCCACACACCTCCAGGTGCAACTGGCACATCTGCGAGAAACAGCCACTTTCAATATGCACCAGACCCCTCGCACTCCCACACTGTCGGCCTCAGTATGTGCCACTCCAGCTCTGCTGGGAGCGTTGCGCCTGCGCTTGCTGTTGCTGCTGCTGCTGCTGCTGGTAGCTACCAGCACCACCGCCAGCAGACCCGCCAGCGCCGCCAGCGCTACCACCCATACCCTGCGACTGCAGCAGTTGCTGGTGGGAGTGCCCGTGCACATGGCCTGAAGGCCCGCCGGGGCCTGACTGGGAAGCATGGTATAATCCCGCAGCGGCGGCGGCGGCTGCTCCGTATGCTGCTGCAGGGTGTGTGGCGTGGGCACCTGGTGCCTGGGGATGGCTGTGTGTGGCTGATGGGTAGCCCCCTGCATGACCAGCTTGTCCTGGTGCAAGGTTGTAGTAGGAAGACGTGGGCATGCCTGCTGCCACTGCTGCTGCTGCCATGTCTCTTGACACCTGCCCACAAGGCAATGCGTTGCGCACACACACGGAAACAAAGAGAAGAAACCAAAACGGAATAAGGGGATGACCTGGCAGGACCAAAAGCAAGAAACACACATCAAATTACAGGAGAATCGGCACAAAAAGCCACTCATAGCCACTCATAGACTGACCGTACCTGCTGGCCTTGAAGGTATAGGCTGCTGGCGTCCTTGTACTGACTGCCCCCAACATCCTCATACCCGCCGCTGCTTGTCCCACCTGCTGACATCCCAGGCCCCCCTCCATAACCCCCAGCTGCCCCCGGATACGCCCCATACGCTGCTGCCCCCGCAGTCAAGTGCCCTGTCCCCGCAGTGGAACCTGCAGTTTTATACCCTGCTGGCATGGGGTATTTCGCACCTGCGACCGTGCCGGGAGGGTACGATGAGCCTGCTGCTGTGGGGTATGAAGGATTGCCAGGCGCTTGTGGGTATGTGGACGAGGGGGTTGCGTAGCTGGGGTGAGTGTAGGGCGAGTGCATGGTGTAGTAATTGGGCGGCACAGCATACTGCGCATAGCCTGCATAGTTGATCCCGTAATGCGCCCCCATGGGGATGCCTGCTGGCTGGGCCGCATACGCAGCTGCAGCCGCTGCGTGCATGGGAACAGGCTGCTGCTGCTGCTGCTGTTGCTGTTGCTGCTGCTGCCCCTGCTGCGGCTGCCCCTGCTGCGGCTGCTGCTGCGACTGCTGCTGAGGCTGCTGCTGCTGCTGTGGCTGCTGCTGCTGCTGCTGTGCTTGGGGCTGCTGCTGCTGAGCCTGCTGCTGGGAGAGCCCAGCGGAGTGCGAGGAGGCCTGTCCCATGGAAGGAGCACCCACAATGCCCAAGCTGCTCGATGTCTGCACACCCTCACGGGGAACAAGGAAGGCAGGGCAGGGTAATAGGGCCACATGAGGCACGACAATTGTCACAAATGAGACGGAAGAAGCACACCAGGGTAACGACGACCTACACATTTTCGAGTTGAAATTTTCGTGAAATGGAACAGGTTACACCCCAGTGAGCGCACTGCGTGTGCTGAGTTTAGCATAGCGCATGTGAGATTGTTCGGTTACACCTTCCAAACCCACACACAACCACATCTCTCCCTTTCAGCACCCCATACCATGTCTTCCATTTCACCACATCCTCCTTCACAACCCTCACACCCACACACACATACACCCACGCACCAGTGAGCACGTCCGAACTGCCCAGCTTACCTCTTGAGAAGGCAGTCCCTGCCCTGCACCTGCCGTCCCGTATTTGGCACCCAGAGCAGATCCCGACGAAGTCACGAACGGAGAGTAACGCATTTCGCCATCGCCACTGGGCCTGAACGCGGGCGAGTAGTAGCTGCCAGGCGGGTCACTGTACTGCTGCTGCGGGAACGAGATCGGGGGAGACCACAACAGTACAGGGAATGGCGATACAGGGAGGTAAGGGGCAAAAAACCTGACGCAGGAGGCAGGAAATGGCGTGCGGGAAGAAGTGCGAAAAGAAAATCAGGGAGCTCCAAACAGAAAATCAGCGCCAGCGAAGAAATACGAACGAATAAAAATACACTGAGCGGGGTGCGTGAGGGGGAAGGCGAAGGAAATCGTGTGATCGGCGCTCAAGGGAAGACTGGCTTGCTTACCAGTCCCACGGACGTAAAGCGGGAAATGTCTCCTGCGACTTGTGGCTCTGACGCGTCGTATGCAGGATATTGCCCCGCGGGCATCTGCGGGACCAGGCCAAACGCGGGATAGTTCTGAAGCGCAGGCACATACGGATACGCGGAAGGCTGCTGCTGCTGCTGCTGCTGCGGCTGCTGCTGTTGCGCCTGTTGCGCCTGCTGCTGCTGCTGCTGCTGCTGCTGCTGCTGCGACAGTTGCTGCAGCTGCTGCTGCTGCGACAGCTGACTCTGCGCCTGCTGCTGCGGCTGCTGCTGCACCTGAGCTGGCTGTTGCTGCTGGACAAGCGGAACTTGAGGGGCGATCGCCTGCTGAGCTTGGGTCTGTTCCGCCAGCGGCTGCTGCTGCTGCTGCGAAGCTACCTGCTGCGCCACCTGCTGCTGCTGCTGCGGCTGCTGGGCGGCAACCACAGGAGCCTGCGCCTCCTGCAACATCGGCTGAGCAGCAGCTGCTGGCGCCTGCTGCGCCGCCGCCGCCGCCGCGGCAGCCGCAGCCTGGGCAGCAAAGGCTGCCGCCTCCGCCTGATGGCTCGGGAGCGACTCCGCCACACCCGCCTGCGCCTGCTCCTCCTTCGCCTGCGCCTGCTGCTGCGGGACAGGCAGATCCTCCTCCTGCTTGGGGGGCTCCACCGGCTCGACGTCCACGATCGGAGCGTGATCCTCCTTCGCCTCCTGCTCCTGCTCCTGCTCCTGCTCCTTCTCCTGCTCCGGCTCTTGCTGCTCCGTCGCTTGCGCAGCAGCAGGCTGCGAAAGTAGACTGGTCGGAGCAGAGGGAGAGTACGTAAGGTGGTCACGCGCGTGCGGAGAGGGGGAGAGAAACAGGAAGAGAGGGGTACGGGCAGTGGCAAGGAGGGAAACGGGGCAGAAAAGGGAAAGACAGGGATTCTAAACAAGAATTAGGTAACCGCTAGTGTAACGGCCTCGAAAGCTGGCAAACAACGAGATCAGTGGAACATAAGTAGCAGAGGAAAACAACGATGAAGAAAAAAGGAAACAAACTACTGACCTTGACGAACCGACAGCGTCACCGGCCTTGCTGGCGGACAGCGCGTCCGCGCCAAAGCCGGTCCCGAAAGACGTGCCGAACCCAGCTCCGAAGCTGCCGAAGCTGAGGCGCGTCTGATCAGCCTCGGGAACGCGCAGATGCCCGGGAATGATGACAGGCTTGTCGTCCTGCAGGCCCAGACTCTGCAGCTTGCTTGCTGCTGCCGCCACGCTTGACCGGTCCTCTGAACGGAAACATTTAGACACGGGCGACAGGAAAAAAGACACACACAGGCACACGGGCGACACGAAAACACTATGAATGTAGGAACCGGTACCGGTGAGGGGGACACGGGCATCTAAAACGACAAATTCACGTTCTACGTGATTTCTAAGTCAGGGGCCAAGGCGATACCTGGAGCCGCAACAGCTGCCTCCGGTTCCTGCGCGGGAGTAACCGCCACGACGTCGGCTGCAGCAGCAGCGGGAGTGCCAATCGATCCAAGAACAGACTGCTGCTGCTGCGGCGGCGGCTGCTCAGCCACCTGCTGCTGCACCTGCAGGCCCGTGCCAGCAGCCGGAACAGCGTCTGCCGCATCGCTCACAGAAACCTGAGCCGCGCTAGAATCGGGCTGCTGCTGCTGCTGCTCTACCACCAGAGCAACTCCCGGCAGTTGGGTGGCAGCAGCGTCGCTACCATCAGCCACTTCAGCAGCCACGCTCGCCGGCGGCAGTCGCTCCCCGATTGGCCTCTGCGGGCCTACTGTGCCCACGTCTCTCTTACTCTGCGGATGCAGTACCGGATCTGCTGCAGACGAGTACAAACTCGGCGCCGTAACGGCTGACGCCATGGTTGCCGCGAGATACGGAGTGGGTGCAGGGGGACCAGTAACAACGGGTGCGGCTGGCTGGGGAATGGGCGCGTGCGCCTGCAAGGTCGGGGCCGGCGCGGGTGCCGGCGGAGGCGGAGCTTGCTGTGCTTGCTGCGCGGCGGCGGAGGACTTGAGCATATCCGCCATAGTCGTTCCGCCGCCGCCCCACAGCGAGGCTCCGCCAGGACGAGAGTAGAGCGAGCCTCCCGCAGGGGCAGGCTGACCAGGTAGGCTGTCAGGAGGGGAGCAAACGCGAAATGGATGGCGGCACGAAAACGACAGATTCAGTGGAGATGAGATTCTATTGAGGTAGTAAAACGCACAACAGATCGGGCCAGAAAAAAAAAGGGGCAGCAAGACGACAGCTAGGGCGGAAGAAGATAATTCTTGAAACATGCCAACCAAGCAAGCCAAAAAGTTAACCAGGGACGAGACAAAACGAACCTTGTAGGTTGATTCGCACCCACACCAGCCGAAACAGGCTGGCCCGGTGCAGTGCCAGGTACGCCGGTGACGTATGCTCCCCCGCCACTGCAATCGCAAGAACGTGCAAGAGATAACAATCGTATGTCAACCGACGAGCTAACCTTCTCACAGAAGGTAACGAGACGGAGTGATCGGTCAAAACGCGACAAGATAAAAAGCCAGCGGGCCGCCAAAAACCGCAGAAGCCCACCTTGGTGCTGCGACTCCCAGAACGGGGCCCCTTTGCTGAGGATAGCCGGAAAACCCTCCCGGTGCACCAACAGGAGCTCCGCCGTATCCTGGAGCCGGGGCCCCAACCACGGGAATGTAACCAGGCCCGCCTGGGGCCCCTGCCCCGCCAGGTCTAAAACTGGGATGAATCCCGTTTTCTCGTTGCGGCATCGGCCGTCCTCGCCCACCGCCATAGTCTGTCATGCGTGTGAGAATACACGGGCAGTTGGAAAGAGCAAAATCAGAACCTGAAGGTCTAGGCTTCGTTCAACAGGAACGTATAGAATCAGGAGCTTCAAACATTGAGGCATGCACGGTGCAGAGAGGGAGAAAGAAAGTTGTCGGTCGACGAGCTAAGCTTCGAGGAGTTAAAAAAGGTAATCACTAGAAACGAAAAACTGGCAAGGACTAGAGCCTCGTACCTGGGCGGTTAGAGCCGCGATCTGCTCCGCCGCCTCCTCTACCCCCGCCTCTTCCAGCTCCACCCCTAATTCTGACCTCGCCACCGTCCTGCGGATTCATGTACGACAGAACAGTAGTGTGTTCACATGTGTGAGAACCATGACCGACAGGCATGGACGGTTCGAAACCTATAACAGCTAAGTCTGGAATGAGGTGTCGACTTGATTTCACGACAGGTTGACGATCTGATAAAACGTTGTTGATAGATGCAAGTTACCTCTTTCTTCTTCCCCTTCTTCCGCCTCACTTCATGAAAGGGATCTGATGCATCCACGCAATAAGCACAAAGAAAGTGAAAAAATGATTCAGATTCGTGGCGGATCTAAGAGCTAGGATATCTGGGAGCTCACAAAACGACGAATTTGGCCCTTGGACAAGTATGAATCACAAAACGCGAAGCGCAAGTCAGCACAAACCTTGATTCAACAACCTCTGAGCAGCCTCGTTCGGATCCATATTGCACTCTTTCAACGCTACGTAAATTTCCTCTTCCGTGTTTGACACGATTTCCTTCAATTCTTGCACGATCTTTTTAGCACTAGGCGGAATCATGACGCTTGTACTTCCTAGCCCTCGGCCGACTGGCCGGGACGTCTGTGAAACTGATCGGGACATGGCTCTGAACCGGTGTCACAAGGCTGACGGAGCTTGTTGCTAGATCTCAAGAACTAGGGTATGGATGGAGGGAAACAGGGTTAGTGGCGTGTTCTGGAGTGTGAGGGAGAACAAAGAAAGCAGTTGGGAGTGAATGAAGGGGAAGAGGTAGGGTAAGAACAAAAGAGGTAGGGGAGGAAGGCTGCTCCTAGAAAGGAGTTCTCTAAACCCCAGCCAAGATTTTACCTGTCACGCTGGTCCCTGACCTAAATGTTCCTGTGAGGGTTACCGGACCTGAGGCCTGCCTTGGCTTGTTGAGAAACTAAACGTGCCGAACGAGTACACGTGGCCCACTAGGGTCTCAAGCCTGACCTGACGCCATGCGGTTGACAGGGAAGCGGTTCCTCGTCGTAATCTGAAACTCTGCTTCGGGCAAGGGAAAAGGCGCGAGACTACGCTCGGCACGACAGCTTCGGCGTTGAGGGTGAGATTTGCTGGAAGTGGACTGTTCAAAGGCCCTACATCGGCCAACCTCGAGATTGGCAAACGGGGATGGTGCAAATGAGAAACTTTTCTTCATATCATAAACCATATACGGCACACTCATTATTAGAAACACTACTTCAAACAAAAAACATTTCAGTAAACCACCAGTAGAGCATATACAGCACTGTTGATGAGGCCTTTCAGACAAACATAGCAGCCATCCGTATTTTATGCCCTATCAATTATAAATTTATCCTTTTTCAGTCTGCGCCTCTGCCCTGACAAGCGATTGAAACTACGTCGGAATGCTTGGAAAAAAACAACTATAATGGCTAGGTAAATATCTGACGCATGGCCCGCCCCTTCAATACGTCAGTCGCATGGCGCGCCCCCTTATGCAAGTCAACCTCTTTGCATCCAGACTCTCGCCATCGTACGACATCTGTTGGAAGTTCCGTCCTCGTTTCGTGCGAGTGATATATGGTATCGAGAGCTACGGGCGTGATAGGCCACAAAAATATCAGTGTTAGCAAGCGGGAGGGAGACGGTATCAATATCTAGGGATTAGGCATTGGGGAATTCGGTCTCCCGGTAATTGGGATGCGGAGTCGTGCAGCTCATGGTGTCAGATAATGATAATTCGTTGTCAATGGCATAGCTGAGAAGGGCATGTTAGCTGTGGTGTCGGGGCCGATGTTGCGGGCGTTGATGCCGCTCCTGCCCTTTCTGCATTTGGCGCGGTATTCATCATCAAAGATACACCACCATATTGGTTCCTATAATAACACTGTAACGGGGCGCCCACCCAATATTTCATCGGCAATGTTGTACCAAGACGGAAAGTTGTGCGGATGCCCTATACCATATCGATTGGTATTTTGGTAATCGATATGGTACTGCTGTCTTCGAATGATCCCTTCCAGCGACATCGTGTCGTGATCCCAGTGCGCGAGCCGCAACGGAAGTTCGCTTTGGAGAAACATGTACCGGCTCCCATTTCCAGCAAGTTTGTGTTGGATCGGAACGTGGCAGTGACAGCTCGCTCCTTTCCCTTTTTTTTCCCCCCAAGTGTCCGGCGGTATTATTTTTTTTGTCGTTGTGAAATAAGGTGACGATAACGATGCATTTCAGCATGTTAATTGCACTTATATTTTCTTCCTCGACAACTCAAGATAACGAATAGTTGTTTTTTTTTTTTATGCCGTAATCTTTGGCGTCGCCATAATCTGCTCCAGGGAAAAAAATGTGATTTCCCCACCACACTGTGTTGACGAAAAAAAGGTCCTGCCTATGCTTAGGCAAAGCCGACTTCGTTGCACGATGTGCAATGTGTGCATCCAGCTACACTTCTTGGACGGCGCCAAATTGAATGAATACATCAGCGGAATCAATAAGCGGACCTCGGCGAAGCTGGCCACGACGCCGACTTTAGCGGACCCGTCTTTAGTGGAGCCGATTTTAACGATGCTGTCCACAGCGAAGTATACAATGGCGAAGCCGTCCAAGGCGACGCTATCGAAGCGACATCGGTGGACGGCGCCAAGCCTTGGCAGATCGTCGACATGGCGCCGACCTACGAGCCAACGGGAGTCGTCGACATCGGTTGAGGAGCCTTATTCTTGTAGACCATATAATCGGTCGGTGAGATTCTGCAAGGGTGCACGAATTCCATCCCAGGGGATTTCGACAAAGTCGGCCTGCGGGTCGAGCATCACGTGCTTGACGACATGGCAGATGCGCAATATGCACGATGATTTTGAGAAAACTGAAACGAGAATGGTGCACTAAGGAATGGACTGTGGTACAAATATGCAACCCTAGAAATGTGTACCCCATATAGGCTACCCCACTACAGCCTACAGAACATTATGATTTGACACACCCCCATAGGCAAAGTGGGGGAGAACAAGGGGTCACAAGACCAGTCAAGCAGAACAAAGCAAAGCTCAGGGTGGATCACAAAGTCACCACACATTCCGAGCACAAGTTTAAGGCCAGAAGGCCAGTTCACATGCAGGAGCACATATATGTATAAAAGGCTAAACAAGCAAGAGCAGGAGTATATACATGTGATAGTACAAGCAAGGTCAAGAAGTGAGCAAGTGAGGCAAGGCAGGCACAAGACCAAGCTGAGTACAGTAGCGTTGATGATCACAAGGCGCAAGTGCCTTAGTGAAGATATCAGCAGTGTTGGCCTCAGAGGCCACGTACGCAAGTCGCAACTGACCACGTTGCTGCAGCTCACGAGCAAGAAAGTAGCGGAGAGCAATGTGCTTCGTTCTGTGCTCCAGGCGCTGCTCCCGACACAAGGCCAGCATGGCCTTGTTGTCTACGTACAGCACAGGAGGAGAACGAGGCGGCTCTCCGAGGTCAGTCAGCAGGTAGGTGAGCCAGCGAAGCTCATGAGCAGCCATGGCTCCTGCGTAGATCTCAGCCTCACAACTGGAGCCGAGAACGGAAGACGAGCGAGTAGCCCTCCACGAAACAGAGCCGTAACGAAGGCTGAAGGTGTAACCCTGTGACGACCGCTGTGTAGCCTGGTCGTCAGCCCAAGAAGCGTCTGCGTGCCCAGTGAGGACCACTGGACTCTGCTCTCCAAGCACTAGCCCCATGCCCGACGTACTGCACAAGTAGCGCAACACCCTCCTCGCTGCAGCCATGTGCTCCGGTCTGTGTCTCCCAGGAGCAACATAGCGTGCAAGAATGCTAAGAGGGTATGCAAGGTCAGGTCGTGTGCAGGTCATCAGGTACATGAGGCAGTCAACAAGCTCTCGGTACGGGCCACTCGACTCTACGGACTCATCCGAAGGCAGAGCTGAGAGCGAGTGGCGAGTAGGCAGAGGAGTGGCCTGAGGCGAGGAGTACGTGAAGCCGAAGCGCTGAAGGACCTGCTGCACCATGTGTGACTGAGTCAGGGTAATGGTGCGGCGTGCTCTGTCCCGAGTGATCTGCAAGCCAAGGTAGCTGCGCAGTTCACCCAGGTCTGTGCACGTGTGTCTCTTCCTCAGCTCGGACTTCACGTGGGCGAGTCCAGCAGTGTAAGCTGTGGCAAAGACCAAGTCGTCGACGTACACGAGGATGTAGAACGGCGGCAAAGAGGTGTCGGTGCGCAGAAACAGCGACGGGTCGCCAGTAGAGGGAGCAAACCCAAGAGCCGCAAGCGTAGTCCTCAGTGTGTCGTGCCACTCACGCGGTGCCTGGCGGAGACCGTAGACTGGCCGCCGGAGGCTCCACTGGGTGCCAGAAGAAAAGACCCAGTGAAGCCAGGTGGGCAGCGCAACCAGATCTCCTCGTGCAGGCTACTCTACAAGAAAGCAATGCTGAAGTCAAGAGAGTGAAGCTCGTAGTCGCGCTGAGCGGCTATGTGCAGCAGCACCCGAAGAGTGGTCATCTTCGGGGTGGGAGAGAAGGTCTGAAAGTAGTCAACTCCCTGCCGCTGACTGTAGCCACGAGCCACGTACCGCGCCTTGAAGACAGGTGGAGAATCTGTCGGCCGCTTCACCCTGAAGATCCACATGCCACTGACGATGTTCGCCCCAGGTGGGGGAACCGCGTCAACGTAGGTGCCTGTGGACTTCCAGGAAGCCATCTCTGCATCCATAGCTGCCTGCCACTGATAGGAGTAGGGACCCTCTACGGCCTCCGCGTAAGAGCGCGGAGTCGGGATGTCAAGTGCATCCGGGTCTCCCTCAGGGGTAAGCAGTACGGACACGAGATGAGGTGAAGCAGCAGCCAGACACTGGAACTCCTCGTGCCTGTCCTCAAGGACGTCCTTGCCAAGGGCACACTCTCCCCCGACGGACGGAGGATAGATAGACTCAGACTCAGCGACAAGACTAGCAGCGTAGTCTAGATGACAGCGAGCAGCAAAGTCGAGGAGCTCAGCAACTAGGGCAGACGCAGCAGTGGACTCAAAAGAAGGGTCAGTGACGATAGTAGCAAGGAGACGCGTGACAGAAGGACTGGCAGCACGAAGAGAGTCCGACTCCGTGTCGGCTAGAGCAGGAAGAGAAGACTCAGGAGGAGAAGGCAAAGGGGCAGGCAGAGGAGCAGTGGACGGACGCAGAGACATCCTGTGCGTGCCAGGGACAGGAGGAGGACGCTGACGCGAACCTCGACCACTAGTGCAAGCAGCATGGACAGGCGACGCAGGGCGAGACGCAGGCTCACGGCGCTCAGCAAGACCTCCAGTCGGACCAGTGTAGGGAGACGGAGCAGGCAGTGGGGAGGCCGGCTGTAACTGTAACTGCGACGGGACAGGCTGTGGACACTCTAAGGGAGGAGGAGGACAAGTAGAAGACGGGAGACCAAGAACCTGCTGAAGGAGCGGAACGAAGTACGGCCGAGGCCGCGCGGCGACTCGAGACACAGCAGGGATAGCACCAGCACCCCCAGTGGCAGCACCAGCACCAGTATCTCCAGCAGCACCAGTAGTACCCCCAGCAGCACCGCCTCCAGGACCGACAGCAGTAGCCTCCGCGCCAACACCCGCAGCAGCTCCTGCTCCAGAAGTACCCGCAGGCCCAGCAGCTCCA